CTGTTATTATAGGAAGAAGATTTTACATCATTTGCCATTGATCAGCCATCTTGTTCAAATGTATTGTCTCGTCTTTGTTCCTGTGAGTTTCAATTTCTTATTCCTATCATTCTTTTCTTATCATCAGTATTTTTTGTAGGAATCTGGCAAGATTTACGATGTATGTATATCTCCGGATGTAACCATCGCTTTGAATAAGACTGAATTCAATGAATTCTTTCTTAAATTGGATGATGATGATTCGCAGGTTTGTTCTCATAATTTCTGTCGATGTTACTTTCCTTATTTTTGTCCAATTTTTTCTTGTTTCACATAATATTTGTCTGTTATAGACTAATGATGATGGCAACGATTCGGAAAGTGACAATGATAAGAAGAATGATGAAGATGGAAAAGATCAAGAGAAGCGTAAAGACAGTGATTTGAAGCATAGAAAGGAGGAAAAGAAGGGAAGTCCGTCGAAGGGAAAGCCTACATCAAATGTAAGTCCATTGTTTGTATTTATATGTGTATGTCTATCTTACTGTTTTCTATGTTGGTCAAGTTCTTCCCTGTTTGACATAATCTTATCTGTCTTTTGTAGACTCATGGAGATGAAAATGATTCCGATGCTAGCTGTTTGTTATTATTAACATTAAACTATAAAGATAATAGTCTGCTGGGTGTCCCGGCTGTTACATGCCAGTACGTTTGGTTGCCTATGTACTGTCAGTACAGGGGCTGCAGTCGCGAGGTGTGTGGTGATGAGTGTAAGCTTTCCTTACTTCTTCGCCATCCGTCGCGCTCTTAGACCCCCTATTGCCATTGCATAGGCAACCCAACATATTGGTATGTAACAGCTGGTACACCTGTGCATGGTCAACCATTCCGTTATGATTATAACAGCAATTTTATTAGGACTTTGGAAATGTGGTTGTGGAGTTTCCGTTTTTACTTTTCGAAGTCCCCGCCCAGTCTGCGATCCGTGTTTATGGGGAATACCGTCGTTGCCGTTCTTCATTTTGTGTTCATAATGGTACATAATCTGTTAGAAGGAAAGCGTGAAAGTCGGACTATGAATTATGTGTGCATAACAGATTACTTGTGATGTAGAAGGTTGTTGGGTTATTGTCCCCATCCCTACTCACTGAGATGAGAAGGATTGTGTTATGCATTGATTTATACTGTCCTGGTTTCCATGCTAATACTGTGTGTTCAGAAAGAATCGGCCTCGCCTGAATCGATACCCCGCGCTCCGGGCGGGGCAGACAGTAGGACGCACCTCGGCGGATGCTGCACTGTCGTCGATATGCTCGGTGGCCTGGGGGGGTGCGGGGAGGGGGGCAGCAAGTCAGACAGCGGGACGCTAGGATCGGCCGGCGAATTGGCAGCCCTCAGCAATGGTCGATATCGGCGGTCTCTTCTTGGTCTCGAGCAGAGGGCTCGCCTATCTCTTACCCTTGCTCGTGGGCATCGCTAACATGTAGGGGATTGTTCAGAAACTACGTACGTTTCCCTCAAAATCATTCTGCAAACTACAGAGGCTCGGCGCCTGCAAAACTCAGGGTAGGCCAACCCGCAATACACGCATGCATTTCATGCAAGATTGTGCCTACCCATCAGGCGCCATGAGAGCTTGCATTGCCTTCACTTGGAGGGTTCGTAACGGCGAATGACGGACGTACTTTTTGGATGATCCCTAGTCTGGCAAGATCTTCATTATGTTGAGTTGAAAAATTAGACTTTCCAAAGCTTGTTATTTGAATACTTAGTGTCAGTCTGTCGCACTTACCGCATCTTGCGTCACGACCACATTGTGGCCCGAGATGCTGGCACTTATGACTCTCAGTAGTTCTTCGTGGGACACCTGTCGTCGCGTGACGACTACTGGCCGCGCCTCGAGCGCGGGGTATCGACTCAGGCTGGGCTGATTTTTTCTGAACATATAGTACTGTTCATTACCTGGGTTAATCAGAGAATGAGGTTGTGACACATGTACAGTATTCAAAAGGCATTTGCATAAATGTTATGAAGTATCATGTGAATTTTATAATTAGCATGTTTACCAAATTTGTGTACCAGTTTAAACCATATGTTTGTGGTTG